GAGCAGAAATAAAGTGGGACTCCCAGGCCAGGGAACCAGGCCTGGGAGGGGCAAGGAAGCCAAAGTGGAGTCGTGTCTCAGGGAATATAGACCTTTTTTTCCCTCATTATTCTAAAGCTCCACCAGTCTCTTTGTGATTGGTCAGTTCTCGGCTGTCTCACTTAATTTGCTACTGAGTGGGGGATCTTCACATTCCTTATCTAACAGCTTTCTCTTTCCCCATTTGCTGCATCTTTATCTTTATGGCCCAGTCCTCTGGATGGGCATCCCTGCATTGAAGTTAAACAGCTGCCCTTCTAAGTTGTCCATAAATTAAACCACTCTCCATTTCTCCAATCTCTGCCTCCCTTTACCACCTGAAGGAAACCAGGACCAGCTTTAACAATGTTGTCCTTGGTCCTGAGATGTTTGTTTTTCCTAGTGGAATTGGTTACATTCCCTTGGTTGTCCTTATCTCTGAAGTCTCCCTAAATTCTTCAGAGGTCCCCTCCTGCACTGTCCCTGAAACTGCCTAATAACCCTAGCTTGCCCTGTGTCTCAATACCATATCTAAAGAAATATAGCACACTCAGGAAAAAAGCAGAGGAAAAAAAAGAGCATAAAGCAAACAAACCTTAAAATCTTTGCACTGAGAAATGAAATATTAGCAGCACCCCCAAAAGCCTTCTGTGTGGTCCATCCCGATCTGTCTTAAATCCCATACAAGATCACTTCCTCTCAGTGTCTAGACTTACTGTACACCTGTGGCCTCCTCTCACGCTACTCAAGTCATAACCCACTTCCAAGCCTTTTCCTGTCCCAACTCTAATGTTAAAATCTTATGAAATTCTAGCTCCAGGTTCGAATTTTTTCATAATATCCATGTCCATATTTATTTAGATATAACCATAAATTTTACTAGTTATTTTTGACACTATAGTTTTTGTATCCACACGTTCCTCTCTAGAATTTGTGGTAGTGGAAACTGGAATGTCACTGGAAATGAGAATCCTTTGCATACTTGAGGAGCCTGTTCTCCATTTACCATGGATTTCTGCTTGCTTCCCAGGTAGCTTAGTTTCTACAGGTGGGTCTCGAGAAGGGTCTCGGTTGCTAAATATTGCCTGAGGCACCAGTTACTTCCTGCTGTAGTCCTTTCTAGTGCTAAAGTGGCCTGCTTTGGAGAACTACCCCTGGGCTGTGATTGGGAGGCCCTGGGGACAGCCTTTCCTCTCCCTCCCCCATCAGACACCATGGTTAGGGAGGCCTTGTTAAGAAGGGATCTGCTTCCCTATTCAAGTCAGACTTCAAGTTCTCTGGGAAAATTATGTATTTTCTTATACAAAATGTAGTCCTGGGGTCTTGACCCTGGGAACCGCCAGCCAGAAGGGAATGGCTGAGCCAGCCCAGCTAAGGGCAGCCATGTCATTTAATTACCTTAAAAGCTGTCCTAGGGGACCTCTATCACTCTTCATATTTATTTACTTTAATCTTGGATTTCCCTGAGGCTTCCCTGGGAAGAACGGCCTTCCCTCAGGAGTGCTTAGTGTTAAGTTTCTCTCTACTGCTTTTGCTATGGATTTGAATTCCTCTGTAGTCTATTTTATGGCAGTTCTTCCAGTTTCTGATTTTCTGATAGAACTTTTTCTTGCTTGTTTTTTCCCCCAAGTGTGGATTTATACACAAGATTTGCATGTAGTGCAATTAGGGGAAAGCATGAGAATAGACATCCATGCTGAGAAAAGGGTAAGACTGGCAAGAGACGGTGTCTCACAGGGAACCACCATAGTAGCATGACTGGGCCTTTGGCGCAGAAGAATATACTTGTGGTTTTGTTACAGGGCAGGGAGAGGGGCACTCCAGACCCCACAAACCTGCCTGCTCTAAATACATTCTGCCATCCGCCACATCAACACAAAACATATGAGACTTTAATGGGCAGGAATTTTAATACAATTAGGAAACAATACAGGAAAGACAAAGAATATAGTTTTTTGTTTTTGTTTTTTAAAGATTTATTTATTTATTTATTTATTTATGTATTTATTTATACAAGCACTGGGTACAGTCAGAAGTGCGGGAGGGTGACAGAATTCACCAGAGTCAGAGCAGGGAGCAGAGCAGGCAGAAGGACCGAAGTACACTGCTGAGGGGAGCAGCGGGCAGCAGGAGAGGTCTGCGCACCATGTGGGACCCTCCTCTGATGTCCAGGGAGCAGCCTGGGATCGAACCGGCGCTGCAGAGGCTGCGGGCAGCTTCGCAACCCAGCGCTCAACTGCTGCACCACCGGGGAGGCCCCAAGACTGTAGTTTCTAAATCAAGCACCCAAAGTTACCCATCCCCTCGTGGGTAAAAGTCTACCTAAGCAGGATTGGCCCAGAGCAAGGCCCCAAAACCTGCCACAAGTCTAAAGCATCTTCCAGTGGGGACCCACAGAAAAGCATCAGAAACAGCCAGACGAGTCTGGGAGGAAAAGAGCAAAATCAAGACAAAAACTGCCATTGTCACCTCCCCACGGGTCTCTCACCCATGTCTGTGTCAACCAGTCCATAACCAAAGGCAAGTGTAGTTTCTTCACGTGTCTCTCAGCTCCATGTGCCTCTTCCAGGACTCCTTCTGCCTCTCCACCCTGCTACCTTCCTTCCTCAGTCTCCTCTGCAGCTTCTCTCCCTGCTCAGCTCCACCCTCCTTTTGGGTGGGGCAGGAAACCTGGAACCTTCCCCTTTCCTGGGGACCACCCTGTTAGTTTCTTATATTTCAACTAATCCTCAACTCACTAAAGTTGTAAATCCAAACACCTAGTTTTCACTAAGTCCTTTAACATACAAATCACAGATCTTATTATTGTCTGTGTAAGTCTAATTTATCTTATCTAAATTAATGGCTAATTTTTATGTCAACACTGAATTAGCTTATAAATTTGACATAGTAAATTCTCCTAAAGGTTTAACATCATTTATAAACTTGACTGATTACATTCATTTTTAACTACAATTGTAAATCTGGGCATTTTTAACTGCAATTGTAAGTCTGATTCTCATAAGTGCTTCAACCATCTGACAAAGCAGACTTATAAATGTAGCAGACAGAATTGCTAGGCACTTAAAAACAATGTTTTCAAACCTAATACATCTGAAATTATTTACTAATCCAGTAGTTTTTCAACATTCCTTCCAATCTAAGTCAATCAAATTCTCTTAAATATTTTTTAATTAAAGTCACAAATCTTATATCAATCAAACTCTCTCATCTCAGCTTTCCGCCCACTTCACCTGTTTGTACCCTGGCAACTGAAGCAGCAGGAGGAAAAACATATGCAGTTGTGCTTATTGATGTTTCTTGTTTTGTTTTGTTTTTTAATTTACATCGTTATTAGTTATGGTAAAATGCACATATTATTTACCACCACAACCATTTTTAAGTATCCCAGATAACTTTTCCCAGTTTGTCTTTAATGGATTTTGGTGGATGATCTCATGTGTAATTGTGAATATTGAAAGCAATTAGAAAAGAGTGATTTTCCTCTTCCACTGCCAGTCTACCAACCTGCTGACACCTGGGCCCACTACATCCGTCTCCCTCCTCTGATAGTGTCCCTGGTCCTCGACAGGCCAGTCTCTCCATCCAGGACATGCATCCTGTTCTTAGCACTTTCCTTTCCTCATCATCTTTTCTCTCTAATTCAGCATTTCATTTCCAACATTTCTATCCAGGCCTTAAAAGTGCTGTCTTGGGAACCTCCCTGGTGGCACAAGGGTTTAAGTCTCAGCGCTATGAATCTATTGGCAGCCACTGCAGCACGAGTTTGATCCCCAGCCAGGGAGCTGACCCACATGGCATGGCAGACCTCTCCTGTCTCACCTGCTGCTCCCCTCAACAGTGTATTTCAGTAGATCTGCCTGTTCTGCTCCCCACTCTGTCTCTGGTGAATCCTCTCACATCTCCATACCTCTGGCCTGTACCCCAGTTCTTGTATGCATAAATAAATCTTAATAAATAAATAAATAAAAGGTTTTTTTAAGCGCTGTCTTTCAAAATGTAAATGAGACAGTTTTCTTTGGTTAGCTCCCTCCTCCCAGCTCCTATCCCATTATAGGAAAAGCTCTTTCAAAGTGTTGTCTACAGTTGGTTTCCCCACCACCTGACCTCTTATTTTCCCATTCTCTCTTTAAGTCAATCCAATACTACCCGCACCTCAGGTGGGTCACCCTCTGTCCAGCCACAATGGCCACCTTGCAGAATCCGGAACATACCAAGCTCATTTCTGCTTTCAGCCTTTGTGTTCTTTCCTGTGCCGGATTGCTCTGTTCTGTGTGCCTGGCTCCTTCCTTCCTTCTAGATCTCAGCTCAAGTAGCTCCTAAGAGGTCCCCTCCAACTCAAGTGCACCTCTGTCACATCTATCACTTCAATCAGGTTTATTTTTCTCATAGAATCAATCACTGAAACAAACAATAGGAGTTACGTGTTTATTTGTTCTCTGTGCCCTTCCCTGAACAGAACTGAAGCTCCACTAAGGCAGGGCTTCATCTATCTTTTTCTTTTTCTTTTTTTTTTTTTTAATTTTTAAGATTTATTTATTTATTTTATTTATTTATACAAGCACTGGGTACAGTCAGAAGCACGGGAGGGTGACAGAATTCACCAGAGCCAGAGCGGGGAGCAGAGCAGGCAGAAGGACCGAAGTGCACTGCTGAGGGGAGCAGCGGGCGGCAGGAGAGGTCTGCGCGCCATGCGGGACCCTCCTCCGGTGGCCTGGGAGCAGCCTGGGATTGAACCGGCGCTGCAGAGGCTGCGGGCAGCTTCGCAACCCAGCGCTCAACCTCTGCGCCACTGGGGAGGCCCTCATCTATCTTTTTCATCACTGTACCCCAGTGCCTAGAATAATGTAATAATTCAATCCATAAAAATTAAGAAAATAAGTACTCATTAAATATATAAAATTCTGTAAAGTATTTTTACATACAAATAATATTTAAAAACCACACGTCATCACAAGGATGATGACAACTAATGTCAAACCCAGTACACATGTGTCCATACCACAGGTCTGATTTATTCATCCACTTGTTTTCTCACTTTCCCACATCTGTCAAGTCACTTCCATAGTAAGAGAGCAGAATTATCAGCTCAGATCATCTGAGGTTACAAATTCAGGAACTTCAGTGAGAGCAGGTCAACTACAGCAAAGCAGGGGATATCAGCCTCCATCATAATTATCTCAAGCCTTCTTGGAGGTAAACTGGAATTGTCCAGGATGAATGTCTAGCCTGTGTCTTTCCCTGGAAGATAACATAATATTGACAACCTCAGCATCATTTCTGTTTCACATTTAATCAAAAAAAAAATCTATTCTCCATACAAATGTTCCTTTTCAAATTTGTAATACCAACCTCTCACCTAGATTGTCTTACTTGTTGTTCATGGATTCTCTGCCTTCTTTATGTTTTTCTAAGTGGTGTCATCAGTTATGCCATAGACATTTCAACTATTGCTTTGCACATTTATTTTACAAACATTCCAGAACTCTCTTATTTCTGATAGTTTTTACATGCTGTTTCTTGGTTTCATGAAAGGAGAGATCATTTTTGTCTCCTTGTTTCCAATAGTTTGCCTTATTTTGTCTCCAGGGTTTTGGTTTGTTTTTACTTGAACTTCCAGAAAAACATCAAATGATAATAGTAGCTCACATCTGGTTTTATTTCCAACTTTGAAGAAACAGCTCTGGTGTTTTATTGTTGAGTATGATGTTGACTGTTGAGTTGAGTTTCTTTTATCATCCATTTCATAATGTATTACATATTTATTGGTCTGCAGCCAAGTGCATTGGATTTGGCAATATGTAGGGCACTGATTGCCTTGGGGAAAGCAGTTTCCAGGGCGTGGTGCCAGCAAAAGCCAGATTGCAGCGGTTTGCAGAGAAACGTACTTTGGATCCTTCTTCAGTCCGTGCCAAGGATTTTCATCAGGAATGAATACTGAATTCTTTGCTAATGCTTTTTCAGCATTTATGAGATGCACAATATAGTGTTTTTTCTTATTTGACCTATTGGGATGATCTTGCATATTAATTTCATTCATTCATTCATGCATGCAAGAAATATTTGAGTACCTACTCTCTGCCTTCTTTTATTGTAACATGAAATGTGTGATTTTTCAAAAATATTATAGGGCATTGTGACATTTTTAATATCAATTTGTAAACGTGAAACAGTTTTTATAATAGTAATAGTTTTTATAACCTTCATTGTGGATATTATATTTTAGTTTTTGATTGCTAAATCAATGGATCTTACATGAAGAGTTCAAAAGATAGGAAAATGTTTAGAGGCAAAAAATTCACATCTAATTTTTCAATGTCTTAAGGGATAGTCTCTGTTGATAGCTATTTCTGGACCTTTTTCTTTTTCAATTTTAATAAATTTTCAAAGTTCATTGGCAAGTATTTGATGGAGGATTTTCACGTCCATATGCCTGGTTGTGGTACAGATGTCACAGTAGGAGAGACACACCTGGTTCCACCTCAGGTTGGCCTCTCCTGCTAAATGACACTTTGTTGCAGCTCTTGACCCATCTGTTCTCCCTGGGCAACATGGCATTCCCTCTGGCTGTGGGCACATGGGGTGGCATGAAGAATTTCCTGAAGTTCATTTGTTGAAAACATATTTCCTGAACACTTACCTGATGCCTTGCAATTTACATACTAGGAGAGGTACAAGCAATAAGCAATATGAATAAATTGTACAGTATGTTACATGGCAATAAGAAGCAATGGTGAAAAAAATAAGGATGGAGAATGAAATGCTGTTGGGAAGATGGACCTGTGCTTGTTGTGGGAAGGAAGGTCGCATGGGGGGAGGTAGAGGGCATTGCTAAAAGAGAAGCAGACAGCAATGAGAATGAATGATCTGTAGCTTCTCACCACAATATCAGTGAGTCTCACAAATGTCATGTTAAGCAAAGACAAGGTCCATGAGAGAGCATCTGTGGGATTCCGTTTCTGCAGAGCACCAGAACAGGCAGCAGTCATCAGTGATACAGGGTGCAGTTTCTGTGGAGGTGAGGGAGTGTCTGGAAGGAGGACGCAGTGGGAATTCTGGTGATGTTCTGTTTCTTAATCCATGTGCTGCTAGCATGCATGTGTTCAACTTGTGAAAATTCAGCAGGCTGAACATTTGGAATGTGTGCATTTTCTAGGTGTACATCATATGCCAGTACTTTCATTTTTGTAAATTAACAATTAGCTATCTTAGGATAGATGACACAACTTCCAGAAGGACCCTCCCTGAAATCTGCTGCCTCATCTTATTTCCAAAATGCCTGGCACACTGAAGGGATTCATTATATGCATGTGTGTCTGAAGGCATCAGTGAATGGCTACACAAATGCATTTCTCTAATCTCTAAATGGGTTTACATTTAGTCCACCTTACCCCAAGGTGGGGAAACCAAAGCAATATAGATTTTTATAGTCATACTCATGTTTTAAAAAGATCATTCTTATTTCCCCTCTGCTTATATATAAGAATAATAAACCCATTCAGCAAACATTCAAACACCTTTAGGATTTAGAGTCAGAATCAAGTCCAGGGAGAAGGAAAAATGTGTCCATTGGATTGGGCAAATTGTAGGCTCTGATAGTGTCAGAAGCAGTTTCACTAACGTGGAGGCAACAGATGCCAGATTTGGTGGTTAAGGAAAAATAGAATGTAAGAAACTGGAAACTGTCCATGAACGCCGAGAAATATTTCCAGATTTTTAACTTTGAAAGCTAAGAAAGAATCACATAGGGTGGACAATTTTTTTTGAGTGTTTGTCATAAAGGATGAGAAAGACTAGAGCATGTTCACATGCAAAAGGGGGAATCAATAGACAGGAATAGCTTGGTTTATTTCCACATTCAATCTTTTAGTCACTCATGTATCCCACACCAATTTACTAAGTACTTGTTAAGTACCAGTTCAGTATCTGTTCAGTATCAGTTCTTGTGCCTGAGAGTGGTAATAGCACAGTGAGTGAATATCGGATCCAAAGTCTGTGTCCTTATGGAGCTCACAGTCTACCAGGGAAGAGAGAATTTGAAAACATGGGTCACAGAAAGAATGCTGGGTGGGTAAGCTGGGTGTTGAATCAAAGTACAAGGGGAAAGAATTGACTTGGATAAGAAGTATCTTTTCTTCCAAAGAGATAACAGAGATAGCCTTTCTAACATAGGGCTCGGTACAGATGTTGATTAAAAAAAAAAAAAAAATCAGATGATCTAAACTACACAGAGCCCCAATTCTGCATAAAAACTGATTCAGATCTGAGCAACAGCTGGTTCTTCCCAGGGTCACAGGGCCCACCCCGCTCCCTCCAGTGCCCACCGGAGCCCATCCACACTGTTCACTGAAAAAACTTGATACACGCTAACAGCAAGACAAATACAGATACCAATAAAGAGGCTCAAAGTCAAAAAAAAAAAAAAAAAGATGATTGCTAGAGTGAGCAGCGTACTCCTCTTAGGCAGGAGATTGGAAAAAGAGCACTGGGTTGGGTGAAGCCAGGTTGAGCCAGGCTATCCCCTGCACTTTTATGCTGGGTGAGTCCTGAGAGATAGCCCAGAAGCTACCAACCTTGCCTCATGAATCAAGCGTTTGCAAAGGGTGACTCATGAAACCTGTTAATAAGGCTACCTAGAATTCTGCAGTCACCTCTGTGTGAGGATTATCAAGCCAGCATAGAGAGAGAATCTGTACAAAGTCAAAGTCTCTCTCATGAAAGACTCTGAGGAGGAGACCATCGAGAGATACAGGCTTCCTAGCAAGTTTTCTCCTGCATAGGTACAAACTTTTGTTTCTTTAGTTGAACATGACCTGAAGTCATTGGTTGCATTTAGGGGCTTTGCATAAAAAATGTTTTGATAACTCAGCTTAATGAAAACATCACAAAATTGTGAATGGCTAAGACCAATGGTGGGACAAACATTTCCCATCTCATGCTCATTCTCACTATTAAAGTGATGAGTTGATATTTTCCTTCTGCTTTTTCTCTTTCCCTCTTTATATTCCAAAGGTGGGGACTTAAATCCTTGATGGGTGTAATTCTATTTCAGTCCAAAGACCAACCTTGCAAATTATTTTTCTTAATATTAATAAAAACACATCCATATTTGCTCTGTCATCCCTTTGCTTTCTGATCAGCTTTCTTGAGTGGGGAAGAAAGGAATGCAATTAGTTAACACACAGGAGTTGTATAGAGGTATGTCTTGTAGGTAACTATACCTTACTGTGTTTGGGAGGGTGAAAGAATAACAGTAGAGAATCACTAATATAATGCAACCCCTTCATTCCTCAGGTGTGGAAACTGAGGCCCAGAGAGGTGATGTGATTTGCCTAAAATCATGCAACTAGTGGCAGAGCCAGGCCTAGAAGCCAGGTGTCCTGGCTCTCAAGACATTCCGCTGCCCGAGGAGTGGAACAGGTAGTATCACTCACCCTGGGGGCCGTGGGTCTGTCCTTTCAGTCAAGAGCTGCCTGGGGTTCCTAGGAAGGAAACCAGAGGAAGCATCAGCTCAAAATTCTGACATTGAATGATTCAGGGATGAAATAAGAGCTGGGGAAGAGAAACGGTGTGGTTTGAAACTTAACCCTCAAGACCCTGAGACAGAGGCCAAAGTGCCATACCCCCTCGAATCTGTCTCCTGCTGTGGGGCTGGACCTGTCTCCAGCTGTAACATGTCCATCTTCAAACAGCTTGGTAGTGTGTCACCTTCCGGCCATTCTGACATCATGCTCTCTCTCTCCGATGCAATTCAGTGTTAGAAAAATCAATGGCCACTTCTAAAGGACAAATGAGGGAATGAGGAGAAGGAGGGGTTAGGAAAACCAGCTAAGAGGCTTTTAAAGAGACACAGGAAAACAATGAGAAAAGGCGGGTGGGGGCTTGGGGCTGCTACATTGTGTGACATCACGGGGTTTAGTGGCTAGTGAAGTTGGTCAGCCCTGGTAGTGGAAAATGGAGACTAGAAATGAAATCTACATCAAAATGGGGAGGAAGAGAGGGTTCCTGCTTTCATATATTCCCACTAACTGTTCATATTAAGGGATGTTCTTTTTTTTTTTTTAAATAAATTTTATTTTTATATTCCCCATACAATTGCAATCCCCTTATTTTGACCCCAAACCCTCCCTTCCCTGCCCCCCACCACCCATAGAGTGTCTCTGGTTCATAGCTTTTTGTTGATTTTGATTTTCACTTTCTTATAGTTATTCATTTTCCTGGTCCCTTATTTAAGTTTTCTAGATTCCTGCTATGAGTGAGACCATCCGGTATTTTTCTTTTTCTTTCTGGCTTATTTCGCTGAGCATGATTTCTTCCAGCACCATCCATGTTGCTGCAAATTGCATGTGTTTATCTTTTTTGAATGCTGAGTAATATTCCATGGTGTATATGTACCACATCTTCTTGACCCAGTCATCTATTTTTGGGCATTTGGGCTGTTTCCAAAGCTTAGCTATTATAAATAGTGCTGCTATAAACATAGGGGTGCAGGTGCTCTTTGGAATGGATGTTTCTGTGTCCTTTGGGTAAATACCTAGGAGTGGAATTGATGGATCATATGGAAGCTCTATGTTTAGTAGGTCCAGAAGTCACACAGCTCTCCATAGTGGTTGGACCAGTTTGCACTCCCACCAACAGTGCAGGAGAGTTCCTTTTTCTCCACATTTAAGGGATGTTTTTAAGCCCTGTGTTGTTAAAACAAAACCTACCTATGCTGTTGTAAGTAATCCTTTGTGTATATGTAAATGTGGGTACTAATCACTGCTAATGTGTATCAACCCCTGTAAGGAGTCCGAGTCATAGGTTCTTTGTCATTTATTCCATGATTGTTTATTGAGCACCTACTATGTACCACATGCTATTTTGGGCACTTTGAATACCTTGATAAACTAAACAAGCAAATATCATTGCCATTATAGGACTCAGCCCGAGCTCCTTGTGGCTCTGGTGGCTCCTAACAGGACTGGACACTGGGACAGGGGGTGGGGCACTGGGGAGGTGGGGTGTGTGCTACCACACAGGAGACACCCCAGGGGAGGACTGTAGACCTAGATGAGGAAGTGCAAGTCTGTAGGTGCATCAGAGTGTCTATGGGAATTATCCATTAAAGTGGGTAGTCAGACTCTAAGAGACCAGGCAGTCTTGTCACAACTGTTTCAACCCAGGGGTGTCAGGAACAAGCCATGGAAAATCAAGGCGCAGCCGAGATCCAGGTAAGTCAGGCAGGGATGAGCATATGCCACTGGGCAGGGCTGTGGACACTGAGCGAAGCTTTAAGAACCTTTCCAGCCTCTATGAGGGGTAAACTCCACCCCAAGAAAAGCATTAAGGTAGTGAAAAGGAAGTGTGTTGAGGACAAAGGCATGAGGTGAGCATCTGGGTTCAGGAGCCCAGTTTTTAGCTGGACACTTACTCAAACCTGAAGTAATAACCAGAAGGACTGAGCTGCTGAACCTGTAAATCCCTTTGGATTAAGATCAGAATCCATCCCATGGATGGGAATCTCATGACCTGGTCTATTAAGAAAGTGGGAAGAGGGAACAGGAAATGGGGCAAGCTCACTGCATTCTTCCCCCATGCCTCACCTCCCCTCTCCATGCAAAGGGAGGGAGGAGGTCCTGTCTGTTGCTCCCTTGTCAGCAGAATCCCTACTAGCGCCTTCATGGATGCATGACTTGAATCATTGCAGAGTCCTTTCTTTTTTTTTAACCTAGGTATTCACTCCCAGCCTCAGGGGATGATTTTCTTAGCGGTTCTGCTCACGAGGCAGATGTGAAGTCTGTACCTGCATTTAATCTTTTGCTTTATGTGACTTCTTTCACCTACTACTCCCGTCCACCTTTCATTCTTAGTGACAGCTCATGCTCACCCCACACTCCACCCCGCTTCCATCTTCCTGGTTTCTACCTTTCTTACTTACCAAGCCCTTCGAACTTTCTGCTGGGTGACATATTCACCAGATGAGTCTACATCTCCCTCTGACTACATTTCTCTAGTGAATATTCTGTTTGATTCTCCAACAGCCACCCACCTACCACCATTACTAGTAGCAACACATTTTGGGGGAATTAAAAAGTCTGGTTCACACTCTACCACTGATGTTGGACTTGGAAATCCTTCTGTCTGTGTACTCTGATTGCCCAGGTTCATACCCACTTTTTTTTTTTTTTAAAGATTTATTTATTTATGCATACAAGAACTGGGGTACAGGCCAGAGGTGTGGGGGTGAGAGGATTCACCTGAGACAGAGTGGGCAACAGAACAGGCAGATAACTGAAATACGCTGTTGAGGAGAGCAGCGGGCGAGTCAGGAGAGGTCTGCTGCGCCATGTGGGTCACCTTCCTGGCCGGGGATTGAACTCTTGCTGCAGTGGCTGTGGATTGCTTCATAGGTTGTGTCTTAACCCCTTGCACCACCGGGGGGCCCATACCCACTTTTCTTAGATCTGCCTCCTTCAGTTTCCATAGTGGGTGTTGAGAGAGGCAGCAAGTACCTTAAATTGCCCTCTTGCTAGATTTCATCACAGTGGACAATTCTCCCTGTAGGAGATTGGTGCTATTAAGGGAGAAATTCTAGATCTATACTGTCCAATAGGATAATAATGTAAGTCACATATGTAATTTTAAATCTTCTAGTAGTCACATTAAGAAAGGTAGAAGCAAGTTAAATTAATTTGCAATTTACATGTATTTAACCCAATATTTCCAAAATATTATGTTCAATAGGTAATCCTATAAAAAGTTAGTAGAAACAAAAAAAAACCCAAAAAGTTAATAGTGAGATATGTTCCTTTTTGTTGTAGTTTTCTTAGTCTTTAAAATCCGGGATATATTTTATAATCACAGAATATATTTTACAGCTTAATCTGGACACTAATTTTCACTGGAAATATTTTATCTGTATTTATATTTAGAGCTAAAAAAGTAGAGTCATATGTTCAAGTTGTTCCAAAGTTTTCCAGCTAATGAGTCAAGTACAAAAAAAAATTTCCTTTTACATTCACTTCCATATTGACAAAGCAAATTCATCTGTATTAAAAGAATTGTTTGAAGCAAAAGCTTATCAGTTTCAACTTTGTCTTTCCAAGTTACGTTGATTCACTTACTCATGGAATGTACAGTGTATTGTGTACATTAAAAATTAACTCTGTAAGTCATATGATTGCCAACAAAACTTCCTTCAATTTTTCCTACAGTTTTGCAGATAATTTACATTATGCAGTCATGATTATTAAAATATTTTATATGTTTATTCATATTAGAAAATGTGTAAAATCCCTATTAAATTGTATTATAAACATTTCCATTTAAACACAAGTTCTTATATCTTTCTAGATAGGTTACAAGTAAATGTTTCCTTAGAGCTTTCACATTGATCTCATTCATAGACACTGTGACATCCGTGAGAAAACATAAATCATACTGTCATTATTTGAGTATTAAACATTTGGTAAGAATTCCTTTCGCTTCAAAAAATTGGAATTGGACTTGGCAGTGCCATAAATCTTTGTAACACTCTCCCAGGACAACCAATGAGTATAAAGATATAAGATCCTCACATAGATTGCTTTCTATTCCCTCCCCATAAACTGTGATTCACAGCATTTAAATGGGTACACTGAACAGTTTTAACCATTGTCTCCATGACACTTTCCATAGAATCTGCTTCTGAAAACGAGCACAAATATTTTCAATATATATCATATGGTGGAACGAAGCAATAAGGAAAACATCAGTTTCTTGTTTTGAAATTCCAATAAATCCAGATTTTTGACTGAACATAGCTGGAGCACCATCTGGCATGATGGAAATTAATTTTTTTTTCATCACTAGCTGAAATTCTTCTTTGTCAGATGTAAAAGATTCAAAAAAGTCTATGCCATGATTTTTTAAGCTATGAATTGACAATATTTCTTCATAAATTTGGACCGCTCTTTCTAACTAAATAGACTGGAGGTGTTACTTGGGCTTTGTCTCGTGGGATGACTCAGCTAAAATTTGCTGTTTTAAAAAATATTTTGAATTAATTGTCTTCTATAGACAGTTTGGTGGCTTAATTAAAGATTGTTCATTTCTTAGTAAAATATCCTTTTAACTTTTTCCTCATAATTTTCTAACAAAACTTTAATAACTGAAGTAAAACTTTAATAATAACTGAAGTAAACTTTTTACCATTTTTGCAGTAAAAATTGTGTGTGCATGTGTGAATGCAAAATACAAGTCATCACATAGATGTTCAAAATGATAATCTCTGACTCTTTCAGAACCTATTTAAAAGTTTTTGTTCAACATTTTTTTCTGATTTCAGATAACTAATTTTATTGGTTCTTTTTCTGTAGTAAAATTTACATAACACAAAATTTGCCATTTTAACCACTATTTATTTATTTATTTTTAATATTTTATTTTATATAATTCTTACATCATTTTTCATCTTTGACAATGTATGCACTTTCATTTTGGTTGTATTCCCCCTACAATTGCACCCCCCCTTATTTTGACTCTAGTTCTTCCTCTTCCTGCCCCTCCCTTCCGCCCCCCCCCCAGTGTGTCTCTGGTTTATAGTTGCTTGTTGATTTTGATTATTACTTTGCATTGATTAGTCTTTTTCCTGGTCTTTTTTTTTTTTTTTTTTTTTTTAAAGATTTATTTATTTATTTATTTATACAAGCACTGGGTACAGTCAGAAGCGCGGGAGGGTGAGAGAATTCACCAGAGCCAGAGCGGGAAGCAGAGCAGGCAGAAGGACCGAAGTACACTGCTGAGGGGAGCAGCGGGC